TTAACGACAACGAGAGTTTTTTAAAATGTCAGTGTAAAATCAGTACAACGTCTCTCGAGAAACATCAGTCTACTGAACTACTTTAAAGAGTGTTCCAAAAACGAATACGCACCGTCCAATGATTTGTTTCCAACCCACTGCTGACCGGGGAGTAATGCAGCCACTTCCTGTCTGCCTACCGAGGGCTGACAAATATATTCACATCAGAAGCATGCAATCGCAATCTTTGTTGATTCTGTGGAGATATATTCAAGGAGACACCCTGATGTGTTTATGATCAAGTCTCTTCAAATATGCCTTGTTTTGGACATATTTCTCTTTACATTCTAGCCAGAACTCATATCGCACTCTGTCCCGAAATTTTTGCGAATTTGGTAAAGTTCCTATTTCTATCCCGTCACGATCTGCCCTTGAGCAATTCAAGTTTAAAAAGTGAGTTATATTCCACTCCGATGGTAGTATTCATGTTAATAGCGATACCAAAATAAAGACATTTAAGCACTTCCGAACGAAATGCGAAATTATGAGATAATCCGCGATTTCTCGATCGGATGGCACGTCATAACACTTATTGCACACCACGAATTACGTGTTCTGTTGGAGTAATTTACCGTAGTCTGATGTCGGAAGCATTTCCATTTTTCTTCGTTGCCGGAGTTTTCCCAAATATCACAATCAGGATCTCTCTGAAGCGGGAGAAGTAGGTGGTTAATTCTGTAGCGATGATGTAATTCTAAACGACATCCATATGCAATATCATTATGGAATGATTTTCCTTGCGATCTTATTGTTTCTGGATTTGTTACTGCTTCTCAAGTATACTTGATTGTCGTGGCTGTTGTTGAATGAGTTCGGTTGAATTTGGAGCCATCTGAGTCGTACGCTGGAGTGCTATACTAGAATTGAGTGACTCCGAAGTTAGGTCAGACATGTTAGTGATTTCAAGGAGTCAATGTAAAGTAACGAATCGTCAAAGCAAGTATGACTGCGTATTTAACATTGACAATGCAGTCAACTCAGGGTATGAAAAAACTGGACGCCACAATTATGTTAAACCATCAACATT